TTAATATCATTAAATAAATTGCACTGAACAACGGCTATAATTCGTCCATTATCGATAAAATTATAAATAAAAAACAAATCCAGACAACAGTAAAGTCTAATTATTATCCGAAACCTAATACAGAACACCAAAAAATCAAGTGAAGTGCTAAAATTTATATTGGACAAACAGGTAGATCCTTCAAGAAACGCCGTAACGAACATAAAAGAGCGTTTAAAAACAATAATCTATATTCTAATTGTGCTACACACTTAAACACAGAAAAACACATTTTTGACGACAATTTTGATATTTTACATACAGCCACAAAAATTGGAAAACTAAATTTATTGGAAGCCATGGACAATAACAAAATACTTTTCCATTATTAAACCTAAATTCTCACAACGAATTTAATTACGATTTTATTGTCATTTTTCGGTATATATAGTAGCAGGTAGTTTGCAAATATTACATTTGATAAAGACACGGTGTTGTACAAACAATTGTCATGTGAATATATATAATTTATTGAAAATCTGAACTGTTAGTTCTTATTTATTTTGTTAAATGGATTTTCATCAAGTTCGTTTTACTTATGTATTAATTGTGATTTACACAAGCCTACAACAACTCTTAAATAAACTAAAACTAAATAGGTATATTGCGTAACATAATAGTGCTAGTTTGGTTTAGTCCACAGACATGATGAAAACCACGTACATCCGTACCGAAATATTAAAAAATAAAAACACTTCATTAATAATATCAATCAGATAACGCTAGCTGAATTGTTAATTTTTATTCTGCCTTTTCCTGATTACAACTAATTCGAATATCAGATTTTACATTTATCTTTGCAATATTTCTATTTTTTTTTGTTCCAATTACGCAAAAAGGATTTGAGATTGCTATTACGAAAGTGGATACTCCTCAGCAAAAAAGACGTCTTTTTTTATTGACTGTTAAATATCACACATAAAGTAACTACTAAATCGTTGGTGGCGCAGCCTATGAACACCATCACCATCAAGGTAACCTTCAAATTTGCATATATTTCCACACTCTTTTATTAATGATGGAAAACCTAATTGAATATTATGTTTAGGTAATTTTCTGTTTGCGATTATCGATCGGTATTGAATATTGATAAGTAGTTATATATTTGAGTCTTTCCATTATTACGGACGGTACAAATCGTACAAAAATTATAAAATGGCTCGCGACTAGCAGAGGTAAAAAACAAAATGGCGTCGCTAAATTTTACAAATTACCGTGCTTCAATTTTTTGTATGGCCATGCTGAAGAAAAGAAACATTAAACTCTTACAAATGGGACATCACGGACGGGACAATAAGTTCCATTTATTTTTAAAAATAAATTAAATAAAAATAAACACAGTAATATATTATGCAACAAGTTGTGGAATTGGTCGGACAAAGTTTTTTTGTGTCAATTGACCAATCGATTGATCGAAATAATTTTAAAACATAAATACAATGAAAATTATATTTATTTATTGACATTCATTTTTATTTATTTATATTGAGAACTAAATGGAATCGCTAAGTATTGTATTTGGGTATTGCTTGAAGTGGATATTGCTAGTTATATTCAGTCGGAGAAAAAACGTTGTAAAATTTAAAAAAGATGGTGACGATTTGATTAAAATAAAATATGATTTTGGTGCTTTTTGATAAATCAATAAGACGCTAAATGATTCTCAAATATCTCCTTGAAACTAACAATGGCCTAATAGTTTTTATTACTTATTTTTATTGAAACAAAAAGTATTGTCAGCCTTTGGATTGAAAAGAAAACCATTCACATTATAATTAACATCAGAAAACAAAGAGGCTTTCATAAAAAATTGTAAGGAAAGTCCGTTTTTTTTTCTGTTAACACTATCCTTAGACTAAAAAGTCCTATTTTTTAGTTTGAGGCACATGCAATATTAATATAACAAATTAAATTGGATAATTTTTCAAAGAAACTTCCACATACTTTTTATAAAACTTCTGGAACTAGCTAACGTTTCACCAATCATCCGGTTGACTTCTTGAGAGCTTGACTGAAACTGACTTGCATTTTTCTCTGTGCCTGCTTATATATTGTTTGAGGGGGCGGGGGCATAAACACCGTCTCGGATGACTGATTCCCTTATTGGTGACAGGTAGAGACCTGAGTCACGATCATAGAGAACCATAGTTTCATCTTCCGTCCACAGAGTTCCAAAAAAGACCGCGCACACTCGACACGGCGTTGTTTTTAAACAGCCGAAAGGTTTTTAGGAATCCATCTTGCACTAACTTTATGCATACCTAAATGATCATGCAGGATTCGACGAATACTTGTATCAGAAAGCTTAGTAATTTCTGAGATTTCCTTGACCTTTAAACGTCGATCACTCAATACCATCTCTCCCACAATCGCAACGATATCTTCCGTTATGACCTCCACTGGTCGGCCAGTTCTTGAATCATCTCCAAGGGACTCCTTTCCTATTCGAAATCGTTTTTCCCATTCTTTCACTACAGAAAACGAAGGAGAACTTTGGCCGTACACACCATCCAGCCCTTCTTTAATAATTTTAGGTGCTAACCCTTCTTTTGTCAAAAACTTTATGACTGCTCTATATTCAATTTGCGTTATTTGCGACATTTTTTCGGACACGTCTTGTTTAAAATGCTGTCAATAAAAAAATATTTGACGCAAGACTTCAATTTTTTTTTCGCAGCCTACTAAGATATATATTTAAAAGAAGGCAAAGTTGATACTGGACCTGCATCTATGTCAGACGTATTTTTTTCTGAGTATAGATAAATTGCTAACACACAAAAAGTTAATATAAAATTCATATTATTATTATTATTATTAAATAATTGCAAATTGTTATTTAAAACATTTTGATCGGATTTGACTAGTCAATTGAGAAGTGGTCAATTGACCAGCCCCATATGCACATAATGGATCTAGCGAAAACCTTCGTACGACTTTTTCTTTATTCGAATATCGACAGTTCGTTTCCATTACACGCGTGAAGCGAACGGCCAAGAGTTAACAACATTTTTGGAAATAAAATGACTAACCCGAGATGAGGTGAACGAACTCTCGAGCCTCTCGAGAGATATTGTCCGGGCTTGCTCAAACTTGTGCAAAAGTTTGTTGTATATCATCGCGCTCGCTCGCTAATCTATGATTCGAATGTTAGACAAGCGTGCGAATCTTTCGAAAATGTTCGATGACGTTTGCAGTTTTTTTTTGTTTTCGTAGACTTAGATTAAGTGGCTGCGGATTTTATTTTCGTTGAACGTTATCTGCGATATATTACGCGCTGATATTTTTTTGCGTTTTCTTATAATTAGACAATTATTCTTCGAGCACCAAAATTTATTTCGTTAAATATCAAATACTTAATATGGAAAAGTCACCAATAAGTAGGGTATAGTGCTTTCACAGATAATGGTTTTGGCTTGTTGAATGCAATAAAACTTCCTGGAATGTTTACAATTTATAATATAACCATTCGAGATGATACGAGGGCTACCTTTTTTATTTCCGGATTTGTAATGAAAAACCATAAGTTAATAACAAATATGACTCCATTTTTTTTTCAAAATATTCACCCTGATGATCAATACAATTTTATATTCGATAAAACCAATCTTCAAAGCACTTTACCCACATCAAGCTGGGCACCTCGAAAACATGCTTTTTAAACGCATCAATCGCTTCTACTGGTGTCAAAAATCGTTGCCCACGTAATTTATTCTGAATGTGTGAGGATAAAAGGTGATAAATCAGGACTATATGGTGGACGGCTCATCAGATCAACGTTTTTAATGCTCAAAAAGTTCTTTGTTTGCACTGATCGCTGAGAGGTAGCGTGAAGAGTGATTCGTCTTCGGCGGATGGTTTTTCTAATTTCTTCGAAGACTTTCGGCAAACAAATGGTCGTGTACCATTGAGAATTGACTGTTTTACCTTTCACAAAAGAAACAGTTGCAACGTGGTCAGTTTTCCTGACAAAACAGGCTACAATTTGTTTCGAACAACTTTTGTGGGCTTTGTCTGATTCTGAAAGACCCACACAGTCGATTGCTGCTTACTTTCAGGTTCATATGAATAGGTCCATGATTCATCACCTGTTACAATATCATAGACATATTTGGAAGCACCGCGATCGTATTTTTTTAGCATTTCCTTCGACCAATCAACGCGAGCCTTTTTTTGAGCTGATGTCAAATTGTGTGGAATCGAACGCTAACAATTTTTTTTTGCGGCCAAATGTTCATGCAAAATTGTAAGTATGCTGGTCCCATTAATTCCCAAAGATACCTCAATCTCATGGTAAGTCACATGATGATCCTGCAAAATCAGTTTCCGCCTGCATCAATGTTTTCTTCGACAACCACCGATTTTGGATGACCTTCACGAAATTCATCCTTAAGAAAACTACGATCACGACTGAGGTCCGAAACCTTTTCATTCAGGGTGGTTAGGTGAATAGCTTTGCCACCCTGCTCTCTTATACTGTTTTGCTTCTTATTGTTTATTGATATATAAATAAAGACTTCGAGTTAATCGATTTTGAGTATTAATCCTAAATACAACCAATTTGGACAGAAAATGTCATGACTTGGGTGTTGCAGTCCTTGTAAATTGAATATTGCGAAAAATGTCGCTCATGTCAACGTCGGATGCTGTTATTCGTTATTAAGGAATCCCCAGCCGCCCTGTGTACCTACCGCGTCCTCCGCCGAAACCGTCCTTAAAAATCCTCGTCATACAATCACCCGAAAATATTCAAGCCGTTGCCGCGTCGTTGCCTCGAATTCCGCATCGCGTCGCATTTTTTTTTCCGCAGTACCGGTAAAACGACGTGGGAGCGGCAACGCCGCCGCGCACAGTCACAGGGTATACGGCGAAGGGTCAACGAACCCGCGTTCCGGGTGGGGGTCTCACTACGTCACTCATCGGCGTCAGGATACGCGGGTTTGCCGGGAAAAGAACGGGTCAGAGTGAGACGGACGCGTTTGGCCGTGTCCTTTACCCGATCGCGTTCTCATATTACCGCACAGATACACGGACAATTTGCCCGGGCTCACTCACTTCCCCCCAAAAAAAAAAGGACTCGCGGAACGTTTCGGAAATCCGGGGGGACCGCGTTGTGATAAAATCAGTGCTTTACAAAAAACCGGCGAATCAAAAATGTTCTTATGCGAAACCAAACGAGTGTGATCGATCGTGTAGAAGCAGGATTATTATTATAGTTAGTTTAAATGTGATTAACAGGTGGTAAATCGTGTGCCTTAAGTGTCTGCGGGGAAGTGATTTTTCGTATCGTAAATATATGCATTAGTAGTAACCGTATAATAAGTGGCGGTTTGCGTAAACGCCGCGGAGAAAAAAGAAAACAATCGGCGTAAACAACGGTCGTCGTAGATAACAGCGGTTTTGGTTAGTTTACGAGCGCGTCGGCGTTGTCGATGCCCGCGTAATCGGTCGTTCACGTCCCGATAACGTAAGCCTCCTTGGCGATTAATTTGACGTGCGAAATTCTCTAGGAAATCGCGCCGCCCGCCCGTTAACTTCCAATATTCGGGAGTGAATAACCCGTAGAGTTCAATGCCTCCGCGGCGCCTCGTCACGGAATAACCGCGTCCTCCGAAATCCAGAACCGGAATTAACGCAGCCGACTTTTCGATTCGAATATCGGTCCCGTTCGCGAACGTAATTTCAAAGAAATCATCCCTGGTTACGCGCCCCACGACAATTAAGAAGAAGTACTTTAAACTAACCTATAAATTCCACGATTGTTTGAATACGCAGAAAGAGACTTAGTTTTAATTTTAATTGTTGCCGCAAAAAGTCACATTTGCAGTGATTTTAGGTATTTTAGTCGATCTAAACAAAACTATCCATTTGAAGTGGTTTTAATCTATATAACCAAAACCAACCGCCTATTTAAGTTTCGCAAAGGGTCGAATATTGTGGTAGCTTAATAGAACCTGGAAACTATTGTCGAAGGTCCAAGTTGAAATTAAAAATCGCTGTAAAGTTCTTATATTTCAAGCATACCAGGTAAACTGAAGTATCACATGCTTTGCAGATGAAATTGATATCAAATTCGGAAAAAAAAAACGGATAAGTAGACCCAGATTTAGTTTTAATTTTAATTTTTGCTTTGAAAAGTGGCCTTTAAAGTGGTTTTAGGTATTTTAATCTATATAACCAGATATTTAAGATTCGAAAAAGGTTGAATACCGTGGTAGCTTAATAGAACCTGGAAAACATTCTAATCTATATAACCAAAACCAGCCGTTTATTTAAGATTCCAAGGTTGAATACTATGGTAGCTTAATAGAACCTGGCAAACATTTTTGAAAGGTCGAGTTGGAATTCAAAACCCGTGAGAAGTTATATTTTAGGTGTACCAGGTAAATTCGTGCACGTGCCAATTTGAAAAGGAAATTGTTGTCAACACCTGTTTGCGAATAACAGTAAACTTGCATATTCTTGTTCTAGTATTTTATAAACTACTTCAGACTTTCGTGGTAGTTGCACAGAGCCGTAAAATAATGCATAAACTGCCGAGTTGCAATTCAAACTGCGTAGGAACTTCTTAGATTTTAAGTATACCAGCCGAGTATTACGCGCACGTGCCAACTGGCAAAGGAAATTCTTGTCAAAACCTGTTTCCAAACAACAACAATATACGATTCCGCTTTTCTTCGCAATACGAAAACCAGGTATTAAATCGTTTAAATGTTACAGGAGGCTTGTTCTTCACACCTCCCTTAAGGCCACGTGTTTTTATCCTCTCCTGTATTAAAAATTTAAATCGGGACTCTTAAATTCAAGCGTGGAATGCTAGCTGTCGCGTTAAATCTCGGTTAAAAGAGTTCGACGAATTTTTGGAGGTTAGAATTCACACCCCGTTAGTTACCGCGGATCATGGCCCTCTCGTTTAAATCCACCGGCGTATAAGGGCGTAGAACGAGAGAGAAAAACGTCGGAAACGTATCATCATGCGTCGCGTTATCTCTGCGCCACATTCGCGCATGTTGCCTAAAATTCTGAAGGTCATTAACCGGCCGAAACTTTTAACTCGAGTTTAATGAACTTTTATTTACCTCCTCAAAACCCGGCTCGTATATAAAGCGATAGGATTATTTTTAAATGCGTGTATATATATATTTTTTTTGTTCTCTCGCGTCTGGGTCGCTATCAAATATTACGGCTCGTTATCGGTACCAGCAAAATAAAGATTATTTAATAACAATGTTTTTATTGATCGCCGTTTAAATCGTGCGAGGCGGTTTGAGTGTCAATCGGTTGAGATGCCGGTTGCGTGTATCTCGGGGCGAGGTCGTTGAACTATGTTCGAAGAAATATTTTAGTTTGTTAAATTAACGTTGCTCGTTCGTCGTATATTTTTTTTGTTCTTCGCGGCGTGTTTCGTTTTTTCGCAGGCACCATGAAGGTATTCGTCCCGAAGTCGTTTTTGTTTTTAAAAATCACGAAGAACGACCGTGTTATTCGCACCTGAGTGCGCTGCGATGAGTGTGGATTACGTCATACGGTAAGGGTGGTGGTGGGTCGTCACGTAGGTGGCTGCGGCAAGACGCGGCCATGCGCCCCCTCTGCGTGCAAGGGGGTAAACGTAGGACCTTGGCGAATTCGAGTGTATTTAAAACATGGACAATTTTCCCGAACTGTTTAACGCGAGTGATAATTGGAGTGTCGGGGGTGGGGATACGAGTAGCGAGAGGGATTTGGTGAGGCCGGACACTATTTCGTCGGTCGGCTCGTCGACTCCGCCCCCGCAACACGTCGACGACCGAGGAGAAGACCGGAAAAGTGCGAACTCGATTAGAGGTAACTTTTGAAGCGACTAGGAGACTTTAGGGGTCTCCTACGCGTAGACTAAACAAAATTCCACTCCAACGCCTAAAATTTACCGTTATCGTGAATTAACCCCGTATTCACTAATCGAGATTTAATAGATTGACACAGTTCTATAACCCACATTATCCCAAGTATGAAAAGAAAATAAAAACATACTTTTTTGCTCTGAAATTATTTATTTTGTTGCGTAAACGAACCACTGGGAAAAAAACATTAAATAATGTTTTGGGGCACATAAGATGTAACATACATTTATACAAAAAAGTTCAAATTCGACAGAAAACAACTAAAAGTAGATTGTTTTCCAAATAGAACCCGATTTGATACAAAAAAAACGCATATATTACACTGGTAACACCCGGTTTCATTTTTGGTGATATTTTACAAAGCATGAAGTATGTAAATGCACATTACCCTTATTACAAACGTAAATTGTGTGGCTGTGGCAGATTCTACATCTCCTTCGTGGTTTATTCGCATGAACATTCATGAGGTGACCTTGATATCATAAGATCAATTACTTTGTCTTCATCAGTAGACCAATAATGCTAAATCTGCAATGAATGACAACCCGAGAACAATAAAATGCCTACAAAATTGAAAAGTTCATTTTTTGACAACGAGAATTCATGGCGGTTATTGTCTTGATATTTTACCGAAAATTTTAAAATCAAATCAATTACTTCGTCATCAAAAAATATAAAAACTATTTCAAGGGGAGTTTTTCCCGAAAACCTATTTTTTAGTTCCTCACATCATCGGATATAGGTGTGTAAGTGTACTCAATCTTCCATTTGACAGTAGAAGCAAGCCTGTCGTTTGCAGAAAGCATATGTCTTCTTTTCAATTCCAGGGTTTCATCATCTGATGATGATGATGATGATGATGTTGAAGGACAGCTGTATCAATCGGTGTATATAACTCGAAAGTTCCAACTATATGAGTTGGTTCCCCAAACTCTTGTAGATTTATATTATCGTTTATATCTTCTCGTCGGTCAAGGTACCCACGTCGGGTGGAATATAGACCGCGTCAATATGTTCTGTAAATATTTTTTCATGTTATTTTTAGCATAAATTTACAATACATAATACATATACGTAAAAGAGTGAAATGTGAATTTTGTGTGTGTAAGGGTGATTTGAGCTGTAATGTATGACTGTGTCCATGCCTGAAGGTTTATGGTAAATGGAAATATTTAATTTGTTTTGCGTTTTCGTAATTGTTAAGTCTAAAAAATTAATAGAGTTATGCTGTTCAGTGAACTTTATACGATTATGTAATGAGTTAATGCAATTTAAAAAAGAATTCAATTGTCTGTCCGTTCCAACAAAGCAAGCAAAGACATCATCCACGTATCTATACCACCATAGAAAACTTATCCTTAAAGGATGTTTTTGTATGATTTTTTCCAAATTATCCATAAAAATCTCGGCTAACAAAGGACTAAGTGGGTTTCCCATAATCAAACCTTCCTTAGAGATGTAAATCTGTCCATTAAATTCAAAATAATTTTGGTCTAAAGATATTGTTAAACAAACTGCACTGAACAACGGCTACAATCCGTCCATTATCGATAAAACAGTAAACAGTAACAGTAAACTCTATTTATCCGAAACCTAATACAGAACACGAACAATTTAAAATAATTACATACGTAGGAGAACACAGTGAAAAAGTTTCAAAACATTTGTCCAAATGTGGTTTAAAAATGGCGTTCAAAACAACACAATAGGAAATTTAAAAAAAAAAATAAAACGAAATGTCCAAAATCTCAAAAATTAGGTGTCTACAGGTTGAATTGCGAATCTTGTCCTGAAGTTTATATTGGATAAACAGGTAGATCCTTCAAGAAACGCCGTAACGAACATAAAAGAGTCTAGTCTAGGTTCTAATTATGCTACACACTTAAACACAGAAAAACACATTTTTGACAACAATTTTGATATTTTACATACAGCCACAAAAATTGGAAAACTAAATTTATCGGTATATATAGTAGCAGGTAGTTTGTAAATATTACATTTGATAAAGACACGGCGTTGTCGAACCAATTGTCATGTAAAAAAAAGTTGGTGAAAATCTGAACTGTTAGTTCTTATTTATTTTGTAAAAATACTATGTGTACGGATAATTTTTGGACCTACTGAAAGCGGAAATATTTGATCAAATAAGTAAGACGCCTCCAAAGCTCTGGGCAGGTCCAGATGGAGTGCCTAATAATTTCTTAAAAAGTTGCATTAGCGGCATAACTGCATTGTACCTACAGGGTTCGTGCGATATTTGAGGACAACATTGATATTAAAATTTATTTATTCATATTTATTGCAAAATTTATTACAATCCCCATTAGCGATAATATTTACCCGAATGCCCGAATCAAACGCTCTTTCTTCATGTTGATCATCTTGGTTGTTATAGCGTACTTCAGCGATGAAAGAGTGTTATGAGGATGTTTATTGGTCTCTCGCTCAACTGCGCCGCTTACATAATAATCAAGGGGATTAAGATTCGTTGAGCTAGGTGGTCATAAGTTTGGGGTGATGTGGTCATAAAGATTTTCGACCATCCAACCTTCTGATTCCGCGTTTGTATCGACATAAACAGTCCTCTGCGCATAACGTAGGACTTATAGCGGAAGTCTTCGTAGACAACTCGAAGACTTAGACCCTCAAAGACATTAAGATCCCTCGCAAAGGCCCTTATATGCTTTGAAGGGATCTCTTGCACTTGTTGGACAAATTGTGTATTTATAGTAGTGTCCGAACGTTCCTCATGTCTATTGCGTTTTGCAACAGTTTCTGCATCGCCGGGTGATGCTTCCAGTTCACGACGAACCTTACGGGGGTAGCTCTAAAATTTACCGGCCTGAATATGAAAGAAACAAAGTAGGTAACAATTTTTTATTATTTTTCAATATAATCCCCCTTAACTTCTGCAAAATGAGCTAAAACATCTCTTTTAACTCAACTTCGTCGTTAAACCGCCGTCCACATAAGTCCTTTTTGAAATATCCAAACCAATAATAGTCGCTGGGGGCCATATCTGGACTATAGGGAGGATGATCTATCTGCTGGAACCCACCCTCTAAAATGGCAGCTTGTGCAACACCAGCAGTATGGACAGACAGGTGCACTATCGTGCAAAAGACGCACGGCTCTAGTCAGTTTTAGTGGTATTAGTTTCTTTAATATCTATCAAAAGAATTCCTTCACAATCCCAAAAGATCGTGGCCATCACCTTTTTTGTTGACTGGCAGGCTCTGAATTTTCTTGGAGATGCTTCACCCTTACGACGCCATTCCATTGATTCTTTTTTCGATAGAGGGTCATAATAGAGAACCATAGTTTCATCTCCCATCACAATAGTTTCTATCACAGGCTTCGGTTCCGACCCACAGAGTTCCAAAAAAGACCCGCGCGCACTCGACACGGCGTTGTTTTTGAATAGCCGAAAGGTTTTTAGGAACCCATCTTGCACTAGCATTATGCATACCTAAATGATCATGCAGGATTCGACGAACACTTGTATCAGAAAGCTTAGTAATTTCTGAGATTTCCTTGACCTTTAAACGTCGATCACTCAATACCTCTTCCAGAATCGCAACAATATTTTCCATTATGACCTCCACTGGTCGACCAGTTCTTGAATCATCTTCAAGGGATTTCTGCCCCATTCCAAAAAGTTTTGCCCATTCTTTCACTACAGAATACGAAGCAGAACTTTGGCCGTACACAACATCTTTTGTCAAAAACTTTTTGACACGTCTTGTTCAAAATGCTGTCAATAAAAAACTATTTGACGCAAGATTTCAATTTTTTTTTCGCAGCCTACTAAGATATATATTTAAAAGAAGACAAAGTTTTATCGTGATACTGGAGCTGCATCTATGTCTAAATCGGTGTGTTCGGCGCTTATAGCGATTCGTTTCTTGCGTTATTTTATAGTCCTCCATTAGGGAGCTCAGAAAAAAAAATTGCTCGCCATAAATTACAGCCACATTTATGTATTTAGTAGTGTACGTATAATATCTGCAATTCGCCAAGTGTTTGACACTCTTGTTTAAAAACAGTTGGGCTGGCAATCTAGATGTCTAGTATCAGATGAGCAGGACGGGTTTTTCCAAAATAGGTCAACTGCCACAAATTTGGTGAGTTACCAAGTACAGCTCACTCTTTTATTCAATATTTTTGTTAATAATATAAATAGCGAATGCTTAAAATTTGCTAATGACTCGAAAACTTGCAACACCTTTGATCGAGAGCTTTTGCAACAGGACCTTGATCGTCTGTTTGTTCACTGGCAGGAAAACAAGCAGGAGTTAAATATAGAGCATGTAGTTGTTCGATGAGCCCTGTAGCTCAACTCTAGGGGGTCGCTATTTTTATTTTAGTTTCAGATTTAATTAACATGGGAAAAACTATTTTTTCACTAAAATTAAATTTACGTATAATTTTTTAGAAAAAAAAAACAATTTATATTGTTAAAGTTGAGTCTTTAAGTTTTCCAAAACCTTATAACAAAGTATGTTTACCATTAAAAGAAGATTAATTACAGCCATTTAAAAAATATTAAATTTTGAACTTTTCAGAAATAGCTCCTAATAATTTTTTGTCTACATAATTTTTCAAAATTTTTATCCTAATTAATAGTCAGTGTTTGATTTCTATGGATTTCGAATTTTAAAGTGGTTGTCGGTACGTAGTGTAGGTGGTAGCACTAATTATATAAGATCATACGGTACAGTTGTCAAATGATCAGTGTCAGTTTATTCTTTAAAGCTCTCAGTAATTTCAATTATTATCAGTAAAATGGCTGAAAAGAATATTTATTTTGGTTTGTTTTTCATGTAGAAAATGAAGTAAATGAAAATTACCGGGTATAAGATAAGCTTTACAATTATTTTTCTACAAGCATACAGATTTTAACTTCACAATTCGACAGTGTTTTGATGAAATGATTCGTGATGT